ACCCTTTCCTCCCTGCAGCTATCCAACAGTTGTAGTGATTCATTAATGAGTCAGTTTCGGTTTTGTCTGAAAGACAATGTCTATTATGTAAAGAACGAATTAAATCCAACTTCTTCACACATTTAATAAATTCAGTTATTTCCGTACAACTAATTTAAAGAGACACGCATTGACGTATTATTTATAAAATACATGCCTATATTATAGTCATTAAATTTTGTGTCTATGGTGCTATGAAATATTTCTATTTTTTATGATAATTAAATTACTTGTGAATATATAAATATCTAAATGAATTTAAATTAGTATGAATAAAGATGTATAATTAATTTTAAATAGAAATAAATATTATTGCTTAATTTATGTTTTCATTTATGCATATAATTTGCTTTAATAGAGTTTTTTTGATACAATTATAGTTATCCCACTAGTTATAAAAACAGTAATAATTTTTAATTTAAACAGAATTGTTGGATTTATTTAAAACAGAAATACAGGCAACTATTAACTCAATAATAACCTTCTTCTGTTAACGAATTTCTGAATTTTTTTGGAAAGGAAGCTTAGCACCCCATAGACCCTTATATGGCGCCAATGATGTTTTGTATTTGTTGTTACGGCCGAAATACTTTTGTAATTACTATTCGTTGATACTTTACTCAGATAGCAATATTCTCGTTTTTAGTATCCGTTTTTATTTTTAGATACCGGCTCGAGCTAATGTTTGATGAACTATGACAGTTAAAATACTAGTTCTTCTAAAGATGCCACCCACTTACAGTGTATTTTTCACGCTAGTTATTGTTTTTCATCCATATAATCTCAGTAATGTTACACGAGTATATTTTTTATACCTTTTACGCATCTTTAGGACTAACATTCCTATTTATAAATTTCAAAACTAAAAAATACATTATTTCTAAATCGAAATCCTTGTTAATATTACTAGTAGTATTATTCAATGTCATTATTTTATTTTTAAAATATTGTAAAAACTTTAAGAACAATAAAAAGGAACTATGTACGCAATAGAATACAAATATTATATTGTTTGATTTTAGTATATTAAAGAAAACGTTGTCAAGGAGTATATATTTTTTCTTTGATATAATTTGTTGACCGAATTGAGTACGACGAATACATTGTATGGGGTCAATAAGTCTAATTAAACTTGTATGTGAAATAAAATGATTAGGTCGACAAATTTGTTATTTGGTCTTCGTTGGACAAATTAAATTTCTCTTTCTAATAAGATCACTTAAATGGGTTCCGAAAATGTATTGTTGTTCATTAAAAACAATGACGTGAAGAACACTGAAAAATATCAATGTCGTCTATGACATTAGGTAAAATTTAGAACTTTATTTCGATTAACTCTAAAATTTACTACATTTAATGTAGTATGGTATATTTGTAACATTTTTGTTTAATTATAGCTCATGCGGTTATATAATTATACAGAATTTCTCACCATATTCTGATATCTTTAATAACTGTTGATCCAGCCAATATTTAGCATTAGTTTTATTTTAATAAGTTTTAAATTATATTAAAAGAATATTTTTCATTTATCTTTTATAAGAAACAAAATATTTAACTTTTATGATTTTTTTAAAATTTTAAAATAGCCATTTTATATTATTTTTACAAAAAATAAAAAATAAATAATGACTTTAGGATAAGTATTTAATAAGTTGTAAATGTTTTAATTTTACAAAGAGGGAGTATGTAGTAAAAATAATAAAAAATATGTTTTTTTCCCAGGATCAAATATTATTAAAAACGTCAGAACATGAAGAGTCATTCTCTACTGTATATAACAGTATATGTATTGATATTCAGACAAATTTTCAGTTTTTAAGATAAAAAAAATGATTATGTCTTAATCTGCTGCTTTAATAAAACAGTCGTTTCTATAAAACAAATGACCTACTTAATACATTAATGTAATAATAAATAATTTCGATGTTGGCCTTATAAGTATAAAATTTATTAAATTCATATCTCAACTTCACGTATTAAACAAGGATTATATATGTATAACTAAAATTTTTTTACCAGTATTGTGTTTTTTTTGGCGAGTAATCGATTGATTTTTGATAAATCAATCGCTATGCACATAAAACCTATAGAATATTGGTTGTTCAATATAATCAAACTGTCATGATTTTTTTTTTAGCAAAGCACATCTGTTAACTTTTAAATTAAATTAATTTGATCATTAGTTCTTAGCTGCTCTGTATTATGACAATAATCATCATAAAAGAAAACATTACATAATCTCGCTAGTTTTTTTTTTATATTAAATTAGTTTACTTATGATGTAAAAATTATTCCGATCGTCACTTCAAAAGTAATTATTGTGTTAATTTAAGGATATTTTCTTTGATAGTCACTGAACTAAAGTAGATTAAAAATATGTCTCCTCAAGTAAGTTTGTGTTCTTATGGTTAATTAAACAGTTTGGCATTCGTTGCATAAATTCGTTATTTATTTATTTAACAATTATTAACTTGTATAAATGATATCTATGATTTTTAACTATTTTTCTTTCATTTTAACATATTAATTTTTAACAAATGCTATTCAAGTCGTATAATTGAACATACATCATTGACTATTGTTTTCAAACAATAACTTCTTTGATTAAATCAATTTGCTATTATCACTTATTATATTGGTTCCATTTTTGGTGAAGGTAATATTTATTTAACGTACGATAACATTATCTGTAGCCTACTTGAACAAGCTATTTAAAGAATTTTAATTCATTTATCATATTCCTATGATAAATGTAAATTTTATCATTTAAACAGTACTTGCAATACAAATTTGAATTAAATACTTGTAAATATAATGTAAATATCGCGTGTTTTTCATTACGTGGAAAATACTATTCTCGGTACTTGATATTCATTGAAATCTATTAACAGATAATCCTTTGTTGAAAGTTCAATTAGTATCTAAAACTAATACGACAAGCTATTTTTAGTTATTTACTATAGTTTATAGATATTACTTTAGACGTTTCCATATTAAGGTAATAAAATGTTTTCTAGCAAGTAAAAATGTCCAAGCGTATGTGTTGTGTTCATTTTTTTCGTTTCATTGACTCATTATTATCATTTTCTTGGCGCTTTCGATTAATAACAATAAAAATTTTATGACCATGTAAATTTATTATGACGTTCATGGTAAATGTACTTACAATGCTTCGTCGATGATAACATGATAAGCCCTCGACGGACTTATCCTCATTTGATGGTATCTTTTAGAATATTATGTTTATTTAATATTTTTTAATATAATTTTTTAATTAATTAAAATTTATGGCGCATTTCAATCCTTTTAAAAGTGTTTTAATCTCAAGTGGCCTAGTAAGTGGTACCGAGGCTTTAGGTCCAATTACAAAGCGACACGTGTCTTGTATAGTTTCTAAAAATTTTAATATCTATGCACACGCACGTGTGAAACAAAAATTCAACTAGTTTTATAAAAAAAAAATACTAGTAGAGTTTGGGCAATAATATACATTTTCTTTTATATTCAGTATGATTACTGTAATTATTCGGTAATATATATTTACTTTACTTTCGATAACACACCATTATTAATATTGTTTACGACTAATTTAGATTATGTAATTACGAAGAAATATTATGTATATGCTTTTTGCGAACGCGTGATTTCGATAGTAAAAACTTTTTAACGTTTTCTAAAACATTACTGTCCGCCACCGAATGACCTTCTATTATTTTTACCTTAATATCAATAGAATTGTCTAATTGTACAGAATCAGTTTCGGTATTTATAAATATGAAGAATTATTATATATTGATTAATACTAATAAATATTATTTGATGATAATAAAGACCGAAATAACTAATGGAAAATAAAGAAAAATTACGTTTAAAGCTTAAAAGTTTAAAAAGTAGACACGAAATTCTACGATACATTTCACCAATAAAAATTTATAATAAAAAAATTACTATATTAAACTTGGTTTCCAAGTTCCAAAACTTCGACACTAGTACTGCGTGACTTAATATGTAAAAATGATTCTGCGAGTCCAGTTTTGTTTTTATCAGTTAAAAGTTATTTTGTTTTTACATTTGTGAGGCCCTTTCAAGTAAAGGCCCAAGACCGTTTTACCGTTCCGCCGATCCATCATTGGCTTAGAGTACTGAACAGTAATAACTAGGTATTTAATTTCAAGTTGAAATATCGAGTTTCTTTGTTAATTCAAGTACTTTTAAAATTTCATTTTGAAAAAATGTCAAAATAATTTTTAGGAATTGTTTGTTTTATTCTTTACAATTCTGATCATTTTATTTTTTAAATATTTATACACGTGTGTTTGGATAGTTACCACGCAATTAATTAAAATAAAAAGGAATATGCTTTGCCAAAGTAATAGAATGTTAATTTTGATATTGACCACGACAACTATAGTAACTTTTTTATGTTCCGATTAATAATTTATCTTGTGCAAATATAACACAAATGTTTAAATGAATGTGTAAGTCTCTTGTAAACACAGACATTTGCATGTCAAAAATAGCATTTGCGACTTAAAAACGAAATGATTTTTTCTCGGCGGTTGTACTCCTTCCAAATTGTTAACGAATTGCCAAAATCAAGTTACTCATCACAAAAGTTGTACGCTTTTATTTATTGCTTTCGTCTTTATCGCTAAAAACGCCTAAGGTCGACGCCATTATGGTTTGTTTTGGTGTTTACGTATATACCGCCAGTTAAAAATAAAAACAATCTAATTATTGCTCATAATTAAAATGTAAATTGTATTGAAAGTACTAGTTTCGGACTATCAGCTGACAATGGACCAATTGGCCGTAACAGTGACGGAGACGTGATAGAGAATGAGGCGGACGTCAGCTGATCGTGGCCGTTGGACACCGCGCGGACGATTAAAGCGCNTCGTGGCCGTTGGACACCGAACGGCCGATTAAAGCGTTTCGATTCTTTTCGCTACGGCTTATCGCCTATATTCGCGCACCGCCACCGCCGCCAGCAACGCGCACACGCTTTGTGCCGTACCGTGTTAGCGGTCCGTCGTCGGTCGACTCGACCGTCTGGTAGTCTTGCATCGGATCGCGCCAAATCACCATCGTCGCGGCCACTGACGCACGCCGCCCTTATCATCGACGCTACCTGATAACGTGTAGCGAGTAAAGCTAAATACTATCAGTGGACGGTTCGTCAATTATTGTCACCATGGCCGATGACCAAGTTACGGATTATTGGGTATTTGGTTATGGATCATTGTGTTGGAATCCAGGATTCGAATTCAAGGATTCTATGATCGGATACGTCCAGGGTTTTTCGAGAAAGTTTTGGCAGGGTAACATCGCACACAGAGGAACGAAACAAAAGGTAAAAAAAAAAATGATAAGATTTTTCAAGCCAGTAAAACGGTTAAGTGTGAGCACGTGCGGTGGCTGATGCAATGCTCTACATTTTGGTCACCCCTGCCGGTGTCGGCCGACATACATTTTACTTGTTAAAACATTTTTTCACTTGATTTCACTTTGTGAGCCGCTTTTGTTATTATATTAATTATCTTATAATAGTTATTCATTTTAATGGGCTAAGTGTTTTAATTTTCGAAAGTTAAAAATTCATGTTTAAAATCAATTTTAAACTAATTTATTGTTTCTCTTTTTGAATTTCTTCACTGAGAAAATATTGACGTTTGAAACATTTTGGACATTTTGCGAGCTCACTGTATAATTAACAGAGGTGTGTTTTAATTAATTCGTTTATCTTGTTCGTAGTTTTCCGATAGCAATCTCGTATACTGATATTAGATACGTTTGTACTTTGCACGCATTATAATACGATGTGTTTTATTTTACTTAGAGAATTATAAAGACATTTTCAAATTGAAGAATTGGATTGGTGCAACAACCAGATAAGTTCTTTTTTTAATTTTTTGGTTGAGTAATTTTATAAATATTTTTTCTAAATTTAATATCTCCACATTACAATGCATATAAAAGTCGTTTTTGTATTGAATTGTGCAAAAAAATCATATTTATTCAAAATTAACAAAAGGCTAGTTTCTTAAAAAGTCGCACTTATCTGGTTGTTGTAACGAACCACTTAAATTATTTGTATCACTGTGTCATACCATAGAATAGGTTTTAAGATTTCCGTGTCGTAGCTCTTGAAAGCCGCCACAACACTAAGTGGACAAACAGTGTAATAAAATTAAGTTAACCAGTTGGTGGCAAGCGTATTATTTTGTCATTCATTACAACACGTTACGTCCGTATTGTTGTATTCGCAAAAAAAAAACTGGTTTAGTATTTAATGAGCAGTGTTGTATTTTATTATCACATCATTTTATAAATACTTTCTTTATAGATTGAATCAACAATTTTTTACGGCTCTTAATATTTTGATTGAATAATCTAAAAATAAAACACGAGAAAGATTCATTGAGTAAAATTTTGTTTTTAAAAATATAATTTTTGTCTATCAATTGTCATTATTCAGAATCGAATAATAAAAACTAAACATTTTTTAAAACCTGTTAAAGGAATGACTTCTGTTTTATGTGAACAATAATTTAACATTAATAAACTTCTGACCATGAAAATTAATATATACATTTTATTTACGGTAGTAGTATAGTAATTATTAGAAATGTTTTTATCAGCAAGGTTGACAAAAAATTCCATTGGTCCTTTATCATCTTATACCTTTCACTATCCTGTGAAATTTTTAAACCTGTAAAAAAATTGTTTTAATCATTTTTAAAAGTAGACTATGTATATATATATATAATTCAGCAAGTATTTCCACTCCTTTTTATCAGGTATTACTAGATAATTANCCTTTCACTATCCTGTGAAATTTTTAAACCTGTAAAAAAATTGTTTTAATCATTTTTAAAAGTAGACTATGTATATATATATAATTCAGCAAGTATTTCCACTCCTTTTTATCAGGTATTACTAGATAATTCAATTTATTTATTAGTGATAATATAAGTTTTACATTAATTATTGTTAATATTATATAAATTTGTATGCTGTATAAACTCTTTTTGAACCTCTGCAAAAATATAAAGACTAACAAATTAATAAAACTTAAAACTAATGCATCATAAATAATAAATATTACGTGTATAAATATGTGACCTTTACTTTTAATCTAATAAAACGTGAAAAAATATAACGAACGAGATGTAAGTTTGTACTGATTATAGTAGATATTACTTTTCTAATCGTTATCTGAATAGCAACTAACGTAAACTAATAGATTAGCACAATGTCTAATCTATTCAAATTTGTTTTTAACATAATGAATAACAAATGTTTTGACAGTTAATAAGTAGGTAATAGCTCAAGTCTCAAATATATGAGAGATTAAAAAGAAGCGTAGTGATGTCATTATTTTTAAGGGACAACCAAGTCTAAATGACTAACTGACTGACTTTTATATTCAATAATATTTTACTAAAAAATACTTGTAGCGGACTGAGGTAATTTTAGAGTATAAGCTCTCCCTGATATCTCTCTTTAGATACACTTTTAGATTAGGTTTCTTGGGCTGTGTACATAGGATTTATCTAAGGGGTTATCGTTTAATTTTAGGAATAATTATATTAACTACATTTTTTACTGTTCTTACCGTAATAAGATACAATTTTAAAAAATATCAGTTAAGTATCTACACTAAAATATAATTTTTGTTGACCTTAGCTTATTCCAATGCAATTCCTGAATAATTTTATTATTTTTATTATATTCTTTCATTAAAATAAAAATTAACAACAGTCAATAATTATTAATATATTTAATATACAAAAAATATTCCTTCATTATTCGACAAACCAATGGGAATGAAATGGTGTACAAGAGTTATATATATATAAGAATTAATAGATAAGTAGTGTATTTAATTTTCTATTAAATATTTCAAAGTGTTTTCATAACCTATAGAAAATAATAATTTACTAGGAAAATATTGATCAAATTCGAATTGAATCTGCCCAGAGCTAAGTCGTTCACATTAACGTTCTGTCATTAGCACTCTTAAAGGTAAATTAAAGTACCTTGTGAACGACCAATGCTTAGCAATCAGCAGTTACAATATTACTTAGAAGTTATTGACTGGAGTATATAATTATGTAACATATAAAAAAAAATTTGGTAAATAATTTTTATCCTTGTATTTATTCGAATTTTAGATGGTATAATCGATAAATATTAGCTTTTTAATTATGATTAATTTTATTACACAGTTTTAATTTATTATCATCATTCTAATATAATTTTTGCACGTTAATTACCAGTTGGCCGCAGTAAAGTGCATGAAATAGATATATCTATAGGTCGTATTTAATGAGGAAAGTTTATTTAACCGTGAATAATTATCATTTGAAAGTTATTATAAAACTATAAACTGAAGAAATGTTATAACAAAATGTGATGATTTTTATTCAAAATATTCAGTATGTTTTATAGATTTTATTATGTTACTTTTTAATCATTTGTCTGTCTTGTAAAACGCTGGGAAAATTAAAAAATAATTAGTTAAGGAAAAATGTGTTAATAGTTTAGAAATAATAAAAACTATTGATGTATTCTATAAAACATTTTGTTAAATAACTACATATCAATGAAGAGGATTAATTAAAACGGCATAACAGTATTATAATATATTTGCTTGCATGTATGGCGTTTTTATACTAAATCCACTTATTGGTGTAATGTATTATATCAATAGAAGAAACAATGAAGATATAATATTACAAATTAAGATTAATAAAAATGTTTTTATTTATAAGAAGTCCAAATAAAGTTTCATTATTGTTTTAATGTTTCTTTATTTTATTCCATGAAGTGCTATTAAGATCTCATTGTGTCTTCTCAAAGATATTTAGACTGTATTTTTTGAGTTTTTCAAGTGTGCAGATTATTAAATTGATATTAAAAAACATTTTCTAATTTCTATATCCCCGGGTTTCTTATTATTATTATTTATTTCAATTATCTAGTGTTTGTAATTAAAACAAATTATTCTTAGATGGTTATTTGAACCACATAAAAAAAAATATACTACTGGTTATGTTTTGTTTAATTAAAGAAATGGCAGACATCCTGTAGAGTATTAAAAGTAATAACATTGATATTAATGAGCTTTCTGTCGGTATGTTGTTTTTTATAAAGATTATGTAAGGTAATCTAAATGAGGCAATACTTAACATTAATCGATATATAATACAAATAAAACAAAATAAAAAAATTAATCCGAACTTTTATTAGATAAGAACTTCTTTCTAAAATTAATAATAGAGTCTAACATGCATATTATTTCATAGGATCTTATAGAACTTTACTTTTTATTGTCTATGGATGTACAAATTCCTATCCCTATTATAAGGGTTATTTGATCTATTTATATATAATATATATTATATTTAATTGTATAGTGTTACTTGAAAAATTATATATAATAATAATTTATTTTATTTTATTTATGAGAATCAATGATTCTGGCAAATAAAATTTTTTAAATCTAGACAATGACCAATTGGGAAATGAAATTTTAATCGCCTTTATAACTTAAAAAAAATTTACTTAGGTGCTAAAACGTAATTTAATAAAAAATAAGAAACATTCATATGCGTACAATAAAACCAGATTCCTTCCAATAGATAAATAATCCGATTTAAACCAAAAAACTTCTCTGTTGTGGTATTATACACAGCTGATGGATATCGAACCTAGAGGTAAAAAACGTACCAGTATTTAATTTTATATATTCTTTTCTATTGTGTGGTATTATGTTGAAATTTTTTCGATATAGTATTGAGAAAATCGTCATAGACCGTCACAAAACGCTTTGCTGCGGTCTGTGCTTACAATATGATGGAAATATCATATTGTACTGATACTGTACAATACTATACTTTCATAAATGTATAAAAACGTTATTGAACGTGAACGCTGTTGTAACTGTATCTAATAGGTGTAAAGCCGTCGATACGTAACTTGTATTATATTACTATTTTGAATCTGCTGAACAAGAAAAACAATTATAACAAGATCATTTGCCTTGTAAATATGGTTATTACAATAATTATTTTTAATAATAATGATTTTAATCATTATAATGTTTGTATTTTTCAGCCAGGAAGAGTAGCCACTTTAGTTGAAAATCCTGAGGTTTGTACGAAACAAATTATTTATTTACTAACACTTTCATTTTTAATAATATATTTAAATTAATAAATTAATTAACCTTTTAAAGATCATTTGTTAATTTTATTATATACCTATCTTAAGACTTCTTCAATGATTGAAGAGGATTGTGCTTAATCAGGTTCAAATTGAATTTTTAAAGTTTTGACTTGTTACTCCGGTATTTTAAGTCAGATATTAAATAAACATACAATTTTGTGTTTTTTATAATACATTAATTTATATTTATTTAAATTGTAAAAATTTAAATCAATTGAAGGGTTCGATATTTACTTAGTGATACCTTCAGAATAATTTTCAAACGTGTAAGTCAATTATTGATATATATATTATGTGTTCACTTTGAAATTTTGTCTTACAAACTTAATACATGTTTTATGGCTTAATTCAATTAAAAATGTGTGTTCTTTGCTTATCCTTTATCGATTAACATAGATAATAATGATTGGTCGGAAGTTTTTCACACAAAATTGTGTTTCTTTACTTTAAAAGGTATTTTATCAAACAATGTTTTATCTTATATTTTATTAATTTTTGCCTAAAAAACAAAAAGCAAATTTTTGAAAATATCGTCAAGACACTCTTTTTTTTAAATGTTTGTTTAATTATTGTAAATGTTATATTTAACAAAAAAAAAAGGCACAGTAAGTAAAGCTGAATATAATTTTGATATATATATATATATATTTGCGTTTTCGGTAGTGTTGATTTTAATTTTAAGTGTAAAATCAATAAAAACACAATTGTTTAAACAAATTTTATGATGTTCATTACATTTAAATAAAATATTCATAAAAATTTCAATTGAAAACAATTTTTTGCAAAGGTCATTTGCCTTTAGTTATAGTAAATTCGTATATTGTATTTGCTTAAATGTTTAGTGGCTTAGGACATTCATCTGGTATATTTTGTGTCAAACTGACAGTTGATATTGTTTACAGAAATAATATATTATCAAACTCAACTTTTGAAACGATTTTTTTCTTTAATGTTATTCTACAATGGTTACTTGTTAAAGTTTTTATCTCGGATCTCAAAGACAATTTAAGTTATTGTAGTCTCGAAGTTCATTGCAACACTTAATCTCAATTAAATAATATCTTGTTTAAAAAGGTTTTATAATACAAGGATCGTTGTGATTACCGTCGAATCCACGTTTTAAAACTATTCAGTCTTTAATAATACATAATAATAGTAATATCATGCAATAGCATTTTATAGTAATACTGGTTAGTGTAAGACTCAATTTTCAATAGTAAGTCTATAAATAATGAAAATGTAGTATCAAATAATAAATAGTTTTCGTAATTTTACTTGGAATGGGTAAAAAATAATTTAGGTATTGTTCTTGAGCAGTGGATCACACTAAACAGTAGCCTTACATACTATAGGGGGATGTTATTATTGAAAGGGATTAACATTTAATTATAGACATTATGTGTAATCAAAGGACCTCTTCGCCCAGATCACGAAAAACATTCCTCGATAATATAAAATCTTTTTGATTTTTTTTTTTTTGAATTAAAATCATACCTCACCGATTGTTGCGTTTTATCATTGCTATAGGAAACGTGGGATTTGAAATTGTAAGCATTATTGTTTAAGTATAGGTGTTCCGTGTAGTGTACGTATTAATGAATCGAAACTTATATGTACGTGTACAAATACTCGGAGCGTATGTTTTATCGTTGACCCAAAATGATCAATGAGAGAACCGTGACGGGATTAAAAAAGAAAGCAAACGTTACCTGCCTCATTTTCGATCGATAGTCTACGAAGACTACATCAAAGAAACCGAGGGATTTTGTTTTTCACTTTGAATTTTTTTTGTCTCAAAAGATACTTGTACTAATGTTGTGAACCTTAGAATTGGAATTCANCGTTTTATCATTGCTATAGGAAACGTGGGATTTGAAATTGTAAGCATTATTGTTTAAGTATAGGTGTTCCGTGTAGTGTACGTATTAATGAATCGAAACTTATATGTACGTGTACAAATACTCGGAGCGTATGTTTTATCGTTGACCCAAAATGATCAATGAGAGAACCGTGACGGGATTAAAAAAGAAAGCAAACGTTACCTGCCTCATTTTCGATCGATAGTCTACGAAGACTACATCAAAGAAACCGAGGGATTTTGTTTTTCACTTTGAATTTTTTTTTTGTTTCAAAAGATACTTGTACTAATGTTGTGAACCTTAGAATTGGAATTCAATTTGTAAATATCCGAAGTGAAATAACAAGTAGTTTTTATCGGGTTGGAAACATAAATACTATTTGGTTGATATTCCTTTAATTTTGAATAGTTAGCTAATACACTATTAGCTAGTGTTGTTCTATAAAGAAAAAGTGTCTTACCAAATTATGTATGGTATTAGGCGGGTGGTTGATTTATTTTTAAGATAAAATATCTAATTAAAAAACCATGTTTATACCCAGAAGGATACGCCTGCTTTGTATTTACTAAATGGATAATTGAATTTTCAGGGTTTCGTTTGGGGCAAAGCGTTCCATTTACCAGACCAAAATGCATTTCAGTATTTGGAGATGCGAGAGGTATACCTGGGCGGCTACGAGGTGCACAAAGTGGACGTACGTTCGGAAGACGGAAGTCGAGTGGTGAACGCCACGGTGTACGTGGCTACGGCCGACAACAGCCAGTGGCTCGGCGAAGCCCCCGTGGACGAGCTGGCCGCGCAGGTGGCCACGTGCTCCGGACCGGCCGGCCACAACGCCGAGTATGTGATATTGCTGGCTCGATGGGAACGACAGAACGCGCCCGACGACCGACTGGACAGCGAGCTCGCCGAACTGGAGACGCTGGTCATTTGCAGGCTGACCGCGGCCGGCATCGACCCCGACAAAGTGCTCACCACCAACAAACGCGTGTCGTTCTCGTCCATGGTGCCGGAAAAGAAATTAAGGTGTCTCAACATTTGATTGGACAGCTGTTCCATTCGTCTAGTCGTAGTTTCGCCGTGCGACACTCGGTCTGGACGATCTGAATTCACCGCCGTCGGTATTTGTTCTAGTCGATGTTATGATGACGTCCTCATTGAATTATTTGATTCATTTTTTTATACATTATTTCTATTGAAATATATTTATGTGATAATAATTAATGTAAATTAAGAGAGAACAATTATTCTTCATTGTCGTTTATGAATAGGGATCTTCAAACGGCAGACCATTTTGCGTATTATCTTCCCCCCAATTATGACAATATTTTATGATAGCGTTTTTATGACGTCAAATCAAACCAACTTTTTTTTACTATAAGAATCTCAACCAACTGTTTAACATCTATTTATTTACGCCTTTTTTTTTTATTTTTTTCTACAAATATAGAATTTTTTATACGTCGCTTAGTAAACGTCAACTGCCGAAGTTTGGTTTATCAATAATTTATTTTTCGATTACCATAAAAAGTTAACGGCACTGCCAAAAATAAAATTCGAGCGATTCAACACCAATTATCGCCAAGTATATTTATATTAGATAGTTAATATTACATATTTCATTATAGTAGTTGTATTTCTGTATATAAAATATATTTTAATTCATTCGTTGTAAACTTGACCAGGGTAACTGATAATCATATAATGTATTATAAATAAATGATATAGATTTGATACCATGAATTTTTTATTGTGTAATTTATACGTTTATTGTTATGGTAATTGTATCGTTACTATTATATCGTATTTATTGAAATTTATATTTTCTTTCGTATACAATAACAATTAAATGTATTAATATTATGTTTAAATCATATTAGTTTACACGTTTAAAAATATTATCACCACATTTATTATTAGTTGTATGAATTGCGATGTTTAAATAAATACAATTGTTTTTGTATTATGCGCAGCAAAGCAACGTCAACCGACGTGTGTTTGGTTACCTTTTTTTAAGTTTAGAGTTTACCATTTTTATTCTTTGTTACAATAATGAGATTGATATGTTATGCTTTTTTCGTGCCACGTTTTGATACTATTAAAATTAGTACGAATTTTCCGATACTGTTGATTTATATTATGATTATATTGATATGAGATTTGAATATAGTTGTTATTTTTGTACGATGATTTTTTTAGCTCATAAGAATATTTTTTTTAATAAATGGTTTCGTGTAATTATTTGAGGCGTATTAACTTTTAGCATTGAAATAAGTGCTTTGATAATTTTTTCAAATGACATAATGGCTGTAGTTCATTATTTTTTGTTCGATTTTTTGGCGTTAAGTAAACCTTTTTCGATTTCGCGCTGTGGCAAACCAAACAACGCGTTTATAATAATAAAATAAATGTATAAATAATAGGAAGACCTCGCGTTTCGCGTCAAATTTAGCATTTTGTGGACTCCGTCCAAACGTATTGCTGTTTGTTTTGATCAATCGTTTTAAGAAAGTTTCAGTAACATTTTTTGTGTCTAAAAATACCTCATTGTATTCCTTTCGCAAAGGTCAGTCCTGCCCGACGTCTGAACAAAGTAAAAGCAAAATTTCCTCGGACCTTACACAAATATTTATTACCAAAATAAGCTTTAGCCCAATCAAAAATTGACTACAGACGTAGTACTGCACACCTGGCGCAGTAGCGGCTATCAGTCTGGACCAATACTGACAATGTCTGGGACGATAACGCTTATCAGTACTGGTTGTTTTGTATAAACTGTATTGCACCTGTACTCTAACGGCTACGGCAGCAAAGTATTAATCGCCAATACTAAATCAACACACAGACAAAACGGCAGCCAGTACACTACGCTAGTAGGAGTTGGACAATTGTCAGTCGTCAGAACTGGTACCTTAAAAAATTTCTGCTTGCGAGTCTGTATTCGTGTTTCGTTTATGTGTGTGGAACAACAATTTAGTCGACGCTACTAAAAACGGCAGTCGAGGGACGTCACCCCGTCTAATTGCCAGACAGCTTGTACAAATATTGACGGGTGTGAATTTTAACACATCTAGCATAGTGTGTTAGAAATCAATATTTAATGATCGGTCTGACAAGTTAGGGTATGCAGACACCTTCGAACATCGAGTGTTGTCAGGCCTAAATAATAACAGTGCTCCGTCGGCAGTCAAAAGTGTTTTTATAACATGGCAAATTTAAAACGCTGATTTGGCACAAATAATTAACTTTGTTAACCGGCGAAAAAATATCTGCTAATTTGAACAGTTGAAAATTAGACAATTGCACTTGAGTCCGTATAAGTGCAGAGAGATTTTAAAGATAACGATGTTTCAAAACCGACGTAGGATTAAAATTAAAGATACAATTCTGTTTTTAAGAGGTGTAGTCTAATTTAACGAATTCGAATCGTTAAACTGTGTAATAAGTAATCTCGAGAGTTTCTTACTTTTCCACTTGAATCATACAGTTCAAGTTTAATTTTTACACAGTGAATGTTCCTTTTATAAAAATTATTACTTCTTTTTTCAATATATTTATCGGCCTTTTCCTGCAGCTTAATTTTATCGCAGTAATTATGTAAACTAAATCGAACACTTTTAGTCGAACCATTCAAATAGTTCAAATGTAACTGTGATTAACTCTACAGTGACCGTCCATATATTCTGAAGTTAATCGTACTTCACTTCTACCCATAGTTGGGGTTATGATTATACTGTTTACTAATCCCTTGTTATTTTCCCGGCGTCTAGCCGCTTTTAGTATCCATATAATATTGACACGCATCGACCCATTCAGACGGGTTAATCTGTCGGTGAGTTATCTCGATAGTTTTTTATCCCATCACCGTTCTGTACACTGTCATCACTGAAATAAATTGAAATTCAATGTACGCTGTGCATTTAAGTGCGAGGCAGTTGTTAAACAGTGCTGCAACTATTGGGGGTGCAAGGACCCCATGGCCCCTGTTAAATCACAGCATACATTTAGGTATTTCATATAATATTATATCACCAATATATATATCAAGTTGCGGCACTGTAGTAAAGCTCTAAAGTATCTGGTCTGGTTCAATAATAAAAAAGATAATTAATATTTGATTCGTTGAAATAAATAAATTGTATTATTCTATATCTGAAATATCAACGAAATTTACAGTCACACATTCAACACAGAACACCGAAGCAAACTACTCGTTAGAGTAATTTGTAATTCTGTCAGTCGCTAAAGATAAATAATAATGACATAACACATTTCATTTGTATGATTCAATCTGAAACTTGTTAACAACAAGTAGCTAATAATTACTAAATATTATTAACCAGTTATCATTAATAAGTAATTTATTTAATGAATGTAATCACACTTTTTTATAGCATTTAGATTTTGAGTTTTGATCTACAAGTGGTCGTTCATCATTAAACATTTAAAGTTTAAATCAATATAGCTAAGTTATTATCCAAGCAAGGAAGTTTTTAAAATTTAATTTTATATTGACCGCAAGGCCGCAGCAAGAACTAATTGCGCCCCTGGCAATAAACTAAGTTTACGTTCCGACCACCCAATTTGTTGGTTCTACAACTATAAAAAATTCTTTGTTCAAAAAAAGGCGTGACCAATTTTTAAAATTTTTAACTGTTATAATCATTATTAATGAATTATCATAATTCATTCGTTTCTATGACTTCATGAAATTTATATGGATTTTAACAATTAATGTATTTCTAAGACCTCTTTATCCATTTATTTGGTTTCTTGAAATGTGTGCATTCTTATAGACATTCTAAATTTATACATTTCTATGGCTTCAAAATATTTAAATATATTCAAATTATCAATGATTTTCAAAGACCGAATTACAAAAAAAATAGTTACATTAAATGTAAAGACAATTTAAATTTGCTTTTTCATTCTAAGACGAAATTCAGAGTTTTCAGAGTGAACAATGGAAAAAATCTTGGATATGAGCTAAATGTATTTAAATTGTATATTATTATTTTTTAATTATAATTGACCATGTTTAATTTTTTCCAAAAAAATAACGTCAATCATTCTTGAAATGTTTGTAATTGTCACGAATATTTTTGAACTAAATTACTATATAGTAAACAGAAAACGGGTAAACGACTAAAGTCGGAAAATCTGAGCAAATTTAAAAAAAAATTATGTTTACTTCCGCATAACTTTTAATAAGTACGTGAAAACGGCAGATTTGAAATTAAAAATTAAAAAAAATATACAAAATACCGTTTTTTAGTTGATGACGAGGATCGAGTAAGTTACTCAAATAGAACCCGGAATTTAAAAATGTGAGGACCCAAACTTCTAGAATTTTCGGATTCAAAGTGCAATGTATACATTTTTGTATTAGTAGAAGACATTATTGTTTCAGACAACTAGACAACATGTTAACGTTTATGTATTAAAACGGAAACTGCATTAACAACGAGTGCGTGACTTCTATACTTAAAAGGAGTCTAAGTTTTATGTCGCACTATTAAACAGAAAAATTGCAGACTTTATTGCACGGTAGTTCTCAATTTAATTAACTTGTTTCGCCGATTAAACTCAAGTTATCGACCTTGATGTATGGTTCTTATACGGTCCAAAAATGTTTTCAAAACAGGTATTATCAAATCATGTGATTCTTTAGAATTTTTTTAATATATGGAAATGGTGTACTTAAACTGGCAATTATTATGAAATGTATGTTTTGCAAATAAATTGTATGAGAATTTAAATGAAGTAGATTATTTTTTTACTAAATTTTAATTGAGTTTTTTTTTAATTATAAATCACATTTATGGATTTATTTTATGTGAATATATGATTTGTCAAGCTACAAATGAATTTTCTTCAATAGATTCTATTTTATCAGAGTTATTTAAAATACACGTGTTAAACACTTTTAGAAATATTAATTTATAAAATATTTAATAAGTGTTTTATTATAAACTTTAATTTCCAGACGCTTTAATATCATTAAAAAGCCATTGAATGTATATTATAAATTGATAGTCGATGGAATAACTCAGTGGATATCAAAGTAAAACTTTCGAATTACATTCAGGTAAATTTTAAATGAGATGACATAGTGCCATGTGGATCTTGGATGTCTGAACCTGGACAAATAATGACTACACTTCTACAAAAATTTTATAGCTTATTGTATAGAAATACTAATTGAATTTGTTAGAGTGTTCTCATAGAATCATTGTGAATCACAAAGTCGTCGTTTTGTTTATTGTCAAGTGACTCATATTATTACAATTTGGGGCTGTGTAATTGTATTAAATCACACATAGCCTCGAGTGAGCTCTTAATAGTAAGCCATTCTTCAATTAGTAATAATAACCGCATGGACTATAAAAATTAACCAGGAACCTTGCAGATGTGGAAATTAATGATCGTGTATAATTTGTTGCCTTTGGCCTATTTTTACAGCCCTTTGTACAATATTAATTCGAAAATAAAAAATCTTGTAAAAATAGTCATTAAGTACTCAACAGTAGCTTTATTCCTAATGTCTAGGAATTATAGTATAAAAAATATATATTTTTAATTGCTAGATTATTTCATGCTATATTATGCACCGTGTGAACTCTTGTTATTTCTGTCTTTATTCGTATATGTGTGTGTACTATACAGTCTTAAGCGATTTTTCCTCCCGTACCTGCTTGCATTTGGGATTTGATGAATCTCAAACGACGGATGGCCAGATAGAAACCTGTGCCTGTACTACCACCTGACGATTCATAAGGGTGCGTTTATACTGTGTAGCTGTCTCTATCGATTATGAATTTACCAGCGTTTTTTTCTCGATTCTTAAAAAATATATTCAATTTACTAAGAACTTAAAATGCAAAATAGACAACGGTCTAAGCAAGAAAATAATTGATTTTCAACGGACACTACGATAATATTAATATTCTATCTTGAGTGATTTGTGTCGGAAATCAAGTGTTCAGAAGTAATTTATATCAACCTTTTCAAACTTAAGTCATTAATGTTACAGCCAAATTTTTACTTAAAAACCGGGGTATAGTTTTTAACATGTTTTGCTCTGTACAATCGTGTGCAAAGTCCGCCAACTATAACCCAGTGGGATACTTAAATGTAAAGTGGCTAATAAGTGATCGCCTATTTTTAAAATTCTACAGCACACACTTTAGATTTCGTCGTATTACACACTTAATGTTTTAAAACACACGAAAATGTAAAAAACTAAACTTTCAAAGCTCGCTTTCAAAATTTTGCTTGAAAGTGTCAACAGTTGATAGGATTTTCAATAATAATGATTGTTTGACGGCACACGCATGTGCAAAATCCTGAACCTGCACGAACATCGCCTATCAGTGTCTGGAGTTCTCACGGTTTTTTCTTGGGAGAGCCATCAACAGCAGCTGTTTGTGTAGGCTTAGAGAGGACCTAGGCGCACGAGCACCAGCTGCGGAAAAAAGGACCTCTCGCTGCAGCCTCTAAGCTGTTGGCCGCGACCTTATCAACTATTCTTATCCCGCCGGCATCAGCTGTCTGCTCGTCACCCCCACCGTTTATTTCTGTTGTTTATTGGGAAAGGTCAATGTAATATTTTTTCATCGTCTTTACAATTTTCTGTAGTTGTTTGTTCGAACGAATTCTAAAAGGCATAAAATTTTTTTTTAAGGATAGAAAATTAAGGGGAATACAATGATATGTACCACCTGTCGCACATTTAATGTACAAGGCCTAAATGCAACTAACAACTGTACCACCTGAAAAAAATAACTCCAAGAAATGAACTTTCAATCGTATATGAGTTTAATTATAAACTCCTTAGGTTTTTTAATAATTAAACTCAACGTTCATTCTAGTGCATGATGAAATAGTTACGAGTTTAAGGGGTTTGTCCTAAAAAGATTATATCAAATCTTATTCTCCAAAAGTTTTTAGTTCTTCTATGCAAATTATAATTAGAGGATCACGATTTAAAATGTTAGCGTTTATCTGCTGATCTTTGTTTTACTCATTTAATTGCCTCTTCCGTAATTTAAATTATCAGTAAACTTGTTGCACATAACGTTACTTGTATAATAATTTGTTACTAACAAATATATGATGTAATTACGATATCATAGTTAAATAAATTGACTAATCCAACAAATATGTCAAAAAAAAAATTGTCAATAGCTCTTTGTTAATTTGTATATACAAATTGAATAAAAGGATACATTTATTAAATGCTATGTGTATTAAAACGTTAAAATACGCAGAACGTTAAATAATAATTAAAACATACTAAACTATTAAAACTAATTAGCCAATTAATTTGATATAAATGAGTCGGGGGTAGGAAGTTATTATTAATTTTATTAGTCAGAACTATCCATAATTACTGTTACTTAAAGTCATAATCACCAAGAGATAAAATAACTAGTTTGTTTTATCGTAGCTAATAGTAAACATGTAATTATTTTTACATAATACATTTTCTTTAATATTAACACATATTTTAAGATAAATTTTATTTTGAAATTAAAAAACAACGCTGTTCGCATGTTTAATTTTAATGTCCCTTATAAAAATAGTACATTGTCAAAATATACTAGAAAATATATGAAATTTTTGTTTTGTATGAAAAATTGAACGCTATATGATTTAAAAAAAAAAAAAAAATGAATATACCACTAAATTGGAATCCAATTGCGCACATTTATATAAGATTTTTTTCCGTTAAATTTAATCGTGCAGGTGGTCCACTTGATTTGTGAAAAACAATGTGCGAAGCGGTTTCTTTTGGTGACAATACCACAAGACATACGTAAGCAATACAACTGGGCACCTGACCTTCTCGTCATGGATAAATTCCGTGAAAATAAAAAAATGCCAAAGACCTCTTCAGTTTTGCAGAAATCGCGGCGATTTCAATGGACGCTTTGAGTATGAATGACAATACATTGGGCTCTGAAGTCACTACATGGGGTCATAAATGATCTTAACACATAATGTTATTTTAACAAAATGTCGAGCACGCGTAAATTTTTACTTACATATATGTAAGTTTACATTCATGTGTTCATGCGTATCGGTCTTATTTTTAACGGTATTTCTTCAAATGTAATAGTTCTCCAACCGTCCACAATTCACTATAACGACTATTGAGGTTTGAAGTTCTAATCTTACACTTTTTAGTACAAACATATGCATCGTACTCAATGGACAAAAGCAGACACACGATAGTTTATTAACTGTCAGTTAAGATTTCAGACACATATACTTTAGCAAAACCTTAAAATTGTTGAGTATTATAATCATGTCACTGGAAACCAACATTCACAGAAAACAAATTGTAAAAATGACAGGATCAGCAAATAATGCTAACAGTATGATGAGTAGTGATTAAATATTATATAAAAGAGACAGAAATCATGAAAAGAGAATTGATGTTTCATTCTTCTAATTTCGATTTGGACCACACTAACAGGTTTTGAGGCTACCCATTTAACAGCTCTCTAATTTGGGCTGATCTGAGGTACTCCAACGGGAGGATTTGAGAAGAGCCAAAAAACGCGTTTTGACGCTGAATACTATTATTAATTTTGTGTGTATATCAATGACGATGGCTAAGCCAAGTCGGCTGCGATATAATTGGCGCCTAATTCGTAGTCCATATCGACACGACTCCTCGAGTTTTTTTTGCGGTTTCTGTGTGCATAAATTGTCATGCCAATTAGGTGATTTTTTCATTGCCACAAAATAACGCTGCCAAAGATTAACTTTCGAGAGATCATTGTTTGCACTAATTTTGTTAATAATCAAAATTTCAAAATTGCTTAAATCTTGCTATCTCCATTTTCTTTGACGCTTTTTTTGGCGAGATACCGTATACAAAAGTATTCCCTTAATCTATACCCAAAATATCAGTAATCAGTATGATTATGAACAAAAAAATTATTTAGCGACTAAAAGTTACTGTAAAGGTAAAAGACTCTTATGACTAATATTATAGACAAATCTCTAAATTTATTGAATCTGGTAAACAGAAATATTAAAGAAAATAGTTTAAATATTTTTTAAAAATTTAATTAACTAATAATAATAACAACAAAAGATCAAAAAGGGGTAACAAGCTTTTGAAAATTTTTTCATTAAATTTAATTTGTTCAAAACAAATTTTAAAGTCACAAATACAAATATTATAAGTATTGAGTAAATACACAATATTAGTAATATATTCAGAAAATTAAAAATTTACTTTTAGCTAACATGAGTTTTTTACTCAATTTAAATGTGTTTTTTTGTTGTCACTAACCATAATATTTAATAAATATTGATTATTTTCCTAACTATTTAAAAAAAATTATTTTACCGCCAAATCTGTTAATGTTATCACAGAATAAAAATAAAAATGTTTACAACTTCAGTCTTTTAGTTTCCCGCCAATTGTTTGTTTAACGAAGATCACCGACTTGTGGATCTTGTTATTGGCTCATGTTTATCTAAGTGTTCTAGTGAAATTAATATTTTTATTCCTATTTACGTTAATTTTTTTGTTTATCTTATAATAATAAAATTATATTCGTTGATTTGTTTTGTAATTATTGTTATTTTTGATTATTAGTGTATTTTTCAGTACCAATAACTGTTTTTAAAAATTGGTTTGTTCCTGTTTTAACAGTAGTGAACTTTTAGAAATCATTAAAACAAAATGTCAGATGTAAGTCATAAAATTTATTGTTATTTAAAATGTTTAATAATATTGTTATTCCTACAATAATTAGAGAGATAGCAGTAGTCCTGAACCATTTGAAGATTCTGTGCGTGATGGTGTTGATACTTCCCCAGTACGTAATTTTGAAGATGAAGTGCTAAGTGAAGGAGATGTTCTAAATTTAAGTAATTTTGATGATCCAGAAGAAGAGGATGGAGAAGAACTCTTTGGAGATAACTTAGAAAGGTAATATAGATGTTAATATTAAATACATTTCAATTTAATTATATTTTAAATATTAGGGACTATCGTCCAATACCAGCTCTTGATCGTTATGATGGTGGAGAACTAGATGATGAAGATTATGATTCTATGAGTCCTGGTACCAGAGCTGCTGCAGAAAGAGAATTACAAAGGCGTGATCGAGAAGAGGGCACTGGAAGAAGAGATGCAGATGACATTCTCTATGGTTTGTTTTTCAAATAAACAACAATCTAGAGCTCGATGCTATTCAATAGAATTTGTTTTAGATGAACATGATTTGGATGATGAAGGTTCTAAAAGAAAACGTCGTATGGCGGAAAGAGCTGCTACTGGTTTTATTGATGATGATGCTCCGGATGAAGAAGTATGTGAATATTGTATTTTAGTAATATAAATAATTAACTTTTGATTTTTAACAGATGATTGAGTCAATTGAAAATTTACAAGACACCAAAGGTCATTCTGTTCCTGAGTGGGTAGCTATGTTGGGTCCTAGAACTGAAATTGCTAACAGATTTAAGAGCTTTTTACGTAATGATGTTAATGCTAGTGGAGCTTATGTATATAAAGAAAAAATTAGAAGAATGTGTGAAAGCAATTTATGTAGTTTGGAAGTTGAGTTTACTAATTTAGCTAATAAGCAACATACTTTAGCTCTGTTTTTGCCAGAAGCTCCTTCAGAAATGATAAATATTTTTAATGAAGTTGCTAAAGACTTAGTTACCACTATGTATCCTCAATATCAACGTGTTACCTCTGAGATATTTGTACGAATTACTGATTTACCTTTAATTGAAGAGATTCATACTTTTAAGTAAGTCTTAGTGATCAATGAAATTGCAAAAGTAATTTTTAATTTTGCTCTTCAAGTTGTTAAATTTATAACATTATGGTAGAATAAAGGTAGTCTAAGATTATATTTGTCTATTTTCATTAAATTAAATATGCTATTAAAAAAAAATTTATATAATTTTAATGAATTAAAATTAATAAATTTAAATAAAATTTTAGGAAAATTCACTTAAATCAATTAGTAAGAACACGAGGTGTTGTAACATCAACTACTGGAGTATTACCACAGCTTAGTATAATTAAGTATGATTGTTCAAAATGTGGTTATGTTTTGGGTCCATTCACTCAATCTCAAAATCAAGAAGTTAAACCTGGCTCTTGTCCTGAATGTCAAAGTACTGGTCCATTTATGGTAAGATTAATCTACTATCTTTAAAATAATAAAACTATATTTTTGGCAGCTAGTTACTTAGTTTAATATAAAATATATTATTATTTGAATCAGTACAAAGTATAAACCATTTGGGGTGTCCAATTTTCAACTTCGTTTGTTATACATAAAAATACAGTAGATGAGAATTTACACATGCTATTTTTTTTATTAGTTTCATCAATTTTCATAAGACTTTAAACATTTTTTTTAACTTATGTGTATCTTATTTTATGAACTTGTGTTAGTATTCTGATAAATTCTTTTGCTGTATAACTTCTATTGTGGATAATGATAGACTATTGTTACACTAAACTTATTATTTAGTTGTAGGCAGCACTTATTAAAATATTTATGAATAACTCTTTATTCCAAAGAATGGTTCCTTGTTTAAATTCTGTAAAGAAGTTAAAACTAAGAATAACAACATTTTGGTTTAGCTTATGTATATAAAAATGCTCTGGTTAAGAATTTAGTATTTATAAATATTTTTTATGTTAAATTTATTTTAATAAATTTTTTTTTATATCTTTAGGTTAATATGGAACAAACATTGTATCGTAACTATCAAAAGATTACTGTTCAAGAATCTCCAGGTAGTATCCCTCCGGGTCGTATACCCCGAAGCAAAGACTGTATTCTTTTAGCAGATTTATGTGATCAGTGTAAACCAGGTGATGAGATAGATGTTACTGGAATTTATTCTAATAGCTATGAAGGATCATTGAACACTGGAAATGGTTTTCCTGTATTTGCTACGGTCATTATGGCTAATCATTTGATTGTAAAAGACAACAAACATATAGTAGATTCTTTAACTGATGAAGATGTTTCACAAATATTAAAATTATCCAAAGATCATAAAATAGGAGATAGAATATCAGCATCTATTGCACCTTCAATTTATGGTCATGATTATATAAAAAAAAGTTTAGCATTAGCTCTATTTGGTGGTGAACCCAAAAATCCAGGTTTGTTTTAAAAAAATTTTTTTAGTAATTCTGCTATTCATAAATAAATAACTTAATAGAATATTATTCTTAAATAAAATAATTTTTTTTCAAAGTATTACTATATTTATGTGATCTTCATTTAATATAAAAATTATTTGTTATTAGGTGAAAAACACAAACTCCGTGGAGATATTAATGTTTTGTTATGTGGAGATCCTGGAACAGCTAAATCTCAATTCTTAAAATATGTAGAAAAGGTAGCACCACGTGCTATTTTTACAACTGGCCAAGGTGCTTCTGCTGTTGGTCTTACAGCTTATGTTAAGCGTGATGTTCAAAGTAAGGAATGGACATTAGAAGCAGGTGCATTAGTTTTGGCAGACCAAGGAGTTTGTCTTATTGATGAATTTGATAAGGTATAAAGTATATTTTTTATTTGTGTTTTAGTTAAAGAAGTTGTAGGATGTTTGTGGAAGGTGAAACTCCCCAAATTTCACTAGTTATTGGGTTTAAACTATTTAATAGCATCATAAAATACTTGAAATTTTTTTAATGTTTAGATGAATGATCAAGACAGGACATCTATTCATGAAGCTATGGAGCAACAGAGTATTTCTATTTCAAAAGCTGGTATTGTAACTTCACTCCAGGCTCGATGTTCCGTTATGGCAGCAGCTAACCCTATCGGTGGAAGATATGATCCTGCTATGACATTTTCAGAAAATGTAAAAATTTAATGAAATAAAAAATTTTAATTTTTGTTATTTATTTGATTTTTTTTAGGTTAATTTATCAGAACCTATTATGTCAAGATTTGATGTTTTATGTGTTGTAAGGGATGAAGTAGATCAAGCTAAAGATTGTCAGCTTGCAACATTTGTCGTTCAATCACATATGCGTAATCATCCTTTAAACAAAGACAAAGAATGTGATATAAGGAATCCATTTTCTACTACTGATGTAGAGCAAATACCTCAAGAGCTATTGAAAAAGTATATAGTTTATGCTAAACAAAATATACATCCAAAACTTCATCGAATGGATCAAGATAAGGTTGCAAAAATGTATAGTCAGTTGAGACAAGAATCAATGGTAACTCTTAGTTTTGATTTTAAAAAAATAGCAATATTTTTTTATTAATGTGTACTTGTAGATGACTGGAAGTTTACCTATCACTGTACGTCACATTGAGAGCATGATTCGTATGGCTGAAGCTAATGCTAAAATTCATCTTAGAGATTACGTTCAAGAAGACGATGTTAACATGGCCATTCGTATTATGTTAGAATCCTTCATCGAAACACAAAAATATAGCGTCATGAAATCTATGAGAAAAGTGTGTATTTTGTCTTTTATTTCTCCTATTCCATACTTAATTATGTTTTTAAACTTATATATAGGCATTCCAAAAATATTTATCATTCAAAAAAGATACTACGGAACTTTTATATTTTATTTTGCATCAAATGGCTACAGATCAACTAGCTTATATACGTGGCATTCATGGTGTTACTGTCAATACAATTGAAATACATGAAAAAGATTTTAAGGATAAAGTAAATTTCTTATTTATTTTTTGTTATGTGATATGATTTGTAACAATCGTTATTTTAGGTTAAGCAAATTGATATACATGACCTACGACCATTTTATGAAAGCAAGGTATTCAAAAATAATCATTTTGTTTATGATGAAAGAAGGCATATGATAATTCAAACATTAACCGTCAATGAATCATCAAGTGTTTAATTAAGGATTACTAAAAATAGTATTTTAACGCTTATTACAATTTACTTCCTTATATTTGAGCACTTTATTTAATTTATGTGTTATATGCCTGTAATATTATTGAATATTGTAAATATTTAATTTATGTAATTCAGTTTTATATTTAATATTTAATAATTACATACTGCTTCTGTGTATATATTATAAAAAGATGTTGCATCCATCAATGTATACCTCTACATGTAAAAAATTTAGTAATAACTAAGTGATTTTTTTAAATAAAGACTTCCTTTTAATATATTTAAAATGTATAAGATTTTGATTTTAAAATAACGCTGAAATATCTACAGAAATGTCTATGGTTTTGTAGTGAATATAGAAATCTTACAAAATAGTTCAATTGTCCTCAACTTTATTTAACCCTATTTGATTAAAGAGAAACAATAAAGTATACCTATATTAACTGAATACTTTAAATATTTAATCAACATAATTATTATTAATTAAAATTCACATAAGTTTTTAGTACTTTGAGGAACATAAACATTAATTATATAAAAAATAAAGAAAATAAATAAAAACTTCTTAATAAATAATTCTCAAATAATATTATGAATTAAAGGAACTCTGTTCTAAGTCTTTTTATCTGATTGAATAAATCCTGGTCAGATGAAGTTTGTTCTTTGGCATACCTTTTGCATTCGTTTAGAAACTTTTCTTTATCAGCTTCATTTAATTCCTAGGTATAATAAAAAAATTATATTTTATTTTCATTTTAGCATGCAATGAAGTAATTGTGATCATAAGAAACTTCAGTAATAACAGAGACATTGATCAAAGTATAATGTCAAAAGAAATTTGTTAACATTTTTTAAATTGTGAGAATTTTCTGACTAATATAGTAGAAAATTCAGCAAATTATTCATTTTGTTTAATTAATATTATCATAAAACAATTGTGTTACTATTTATAACTCTAATTTCAGTAAATATATTTTTCTTTAAAAGAAATTTAATATTTTAGCATAAACTTTTCTTTTATTGTTAGTACCTCGTTTCTATTTTCCTTACACTAGTTATTTAAAACTTAGAAGAAATTAAATTTAATAAGTATTCAATCTAATACTTATAAGAATGAAAATATTTGAGAAGACATAAATAATTAAATATGAAATACAAACTTTAACATACATTTTGTTTATTTTCGGAGTTTGATTGGTTTTGAAAACTTTCTAATAGAGAAAGTTTTTTAGAAGCATCCTATAAGTAAAAGAAAAAATAAAAAAATTTATATTATAGTCTTTATTTAAATATGCTGTTTACTTGAATAACATTTTCTGGAAATTTAGCCATAATTGCAACATGAATTCCAAAACTTTTATCACATGACCCTTGTTGTACTTGATATAAAAGTGTTAGATTGTTTTCAGAGGTTACAGCAGTAACATGTTTATTTATGATACTAGGTATAGTTTCACTGAGTTTTGTAAGTTCGTGAAAATGAGTGGCAAACAATGTAAATGCTTTAGTTTCAGTTGCGAGACGTCTATAATATAATATATTATTTTTAATTCAAGAATTATTTATATTGATATAATTGTTTATCAATTGTATTTTTACTTACTCTGCAATAGCACATGCGATTCCACAACCTTCATAAGTAGATGTTCCTCTTCCTAACTCATCAATGATTACTAAAGATTCAACAGTTGCTTTCTATATTTACAATAAGAAAGTAATATCTATTAATCTTGTACTGCCAAAATATTAGCTCATTTTAATTAAAGAAGCACATACTTTAAGTATAGACACAGTTTCAATCATTTCAACCATAAATGTAGATAAACCCTTGATTTGCGAATCATTTGCTCCTACACGAGCTAAAATAGCATCAACAACACTGATTTCAGCACTATCGCAAGGCACAAAACTTCCTAAATGTGCCATAAATACTGCAGTAGCAACACTTCTAATATAAGTACTCTTACCACCCATATTAGGACCAGTTATCACATTAAAAGTACATTCACCTGAATCAAATTTATTTCAAATTATATAATAAAATAACATATCACATAAATTAAAACATTACCTTGTTTAAAGTAAGCATCATTAGGAATAAAAGATACAGAATCTTGTAATTCAACACAAGGATGCCTTACTTGTTTCAAATCTAATAAACCTGTTCCTTGAGGATTCAATACTGGTCTAACATAAGGACGTAATGAACTAGCTGCTAACATAGCAAAACTAGTAAGAACATCAAGATGTGCTAATGTTCGACTGAGATTAATAAGAGTTCCATTATAGCTGCCTAAAACAAAATGAACACTCAACTTAGTATATGTTACTTTTAATGCAGTGAAATATGTGTTTACTTGCTGTCTTAATAACTTCTTCTACTATAGATTTTTGATGTTCTACATATTTCTGATGAATAGTTTGGTAATCATTATTAAGTTCTGTTAATTTAGAAGATCTAAAACGCATTCCACCACCTTTTGTTGTATCAAGTACTTCATAAGATTTATTATTTGATACTGTTTTACCATCCTAAACATTTTTATGAGAAAATGTGATTACTTTGTTACTAATCACTTAAAATGTTTGATAGAAAGTACTTTTAAAGAAGCTTTGAAAAAAAATCCATACTGTGAATTTGAGTCTAATTTGACTTGTATTTGTAATGTTTCAGAAGTTTTAGTCAAGTTTGATTTCATTTTTTTTTCCAGTTCATCCATTTGATTTCTCATTTCCTGTAATTCCTCATCAAATCCTGATTGAATTAAAAAATCTCCACGTTCAACAAGTGTAAAATCAATAGTTTCTTCAATCATGGATTGATAATTACACATGTCATTAACTAATTCTTTTAATGGCATGACAATTACACTATTCAAAGTTTTATGATCAGAATTATTTAAGGTTTCTACAAGACTAGGTAGTTTTTGGACAGCATGGTATATCCTAATAGATAAGTTATTAATAGTATTTATTTCAGTTAGTATTTCAAAAGTAACTTTTTACCTGTAACAATCTTGTAAATTGGCTTTTTTTCTTTGGATTTTACGCATTAGAGCTTGAAGATCAGGTATCAATCTTAAATGTTGGTCATGTAACTGCTGACGGACATCTGTGTCATTAATAAGGGATTCAACAATATCTAAACGCTCATTGATCTTATTTAAGTCTCTTAGAGGTTGTTTTATCCATTGTGTTAACAATCTGAATATAGTAAATTATTTTAGTGAAAGTTAAAATTCATTTTAAAGATGATAATTCATAATTTACCTGTGACCATGTGGAGTTCTACATTTATCCAAGATTCCTAAAATTGAATCATTTTTTGATATAGTTCCAGGGGTTGGTATAAGATTTAGAGCTTCAACACCTGCACTATCCAAATGAACAAATTTATCATAATTTAAATTTTCAACAGTAAACTGATTGAGATTATCTGAATCTGATGACAACTAAAAATATAAATATTTTATTTTTATAAATAAATAATTTATATAAGAATTACAGTTAATATTTTTAAATATTTATTAAACATAAAAATTAACAAATACACCTCAAGATATTTAATTGCTGCTGCCAAAGCGCCACAAGCCGTTTCAAGATGAAGTTGTGGTAAAGTATGAGCATTGAGTTGCTGTCCTTCTTCAAATAATATTAATTGGTTCAAATCTTGAACTAATGAATCAGTGGAAAAATCTACTTTTTTTCTTGAAGTTACTAGTACTCCACAACGTTCTACAACTTTTTTCAATTGTTCAAAATCAGGATTTGAACCATCAATCATGAGCACACATTCTTTAGGGGATACTTTTATCACCATAGACTCTGTATGAGAAAAATATTCATCATCAGTGAATTCACTTAGTTGAAATTTTCTTTCCACAGAATCTACAGCTCCTAATCCTACAATCTTAAAAAAAAAAAAAAAA